CCGTATCTAAACAGCCGTAATTGTAATGAATGGTTGGCACTATGCAATATCTTTCAAAGGGCGACGTAAACTACGCTCAGGAAAGTAATTCGATATAAAAGGACTTCGTAAAAGTGCAAGGAATATTTTGATATATTTTGATAAATTTGTTAAATATGTGTTTATTAGCTTATTCCTATATAGATAACATGGATTGTTTATAAATATAATAGTGTGTTTATATTTATTTTTCTTCTGAGATTTTAGAAATACTTGATTAAAAGCTATTTAGATATCATATTTTGCATGGTAGATAATAAAAATGTGTCTTATTATTTATTTCTTTACTTATGATTACATATATGATAATCTAAATATATTTATATTAACAATAATATACAGTGGAGGTGGTCAACATATTCCTTCTTGAGATAGACTTTATTACTTAAAAAGTGTCGCATATATATCTACAGTCGATTCCGCTTAATTGGGACACCGGTTATTCGGGACAGCTGCTTATTAGGGACAAATCCTAAAGAACGGAAACAAAACGAAGGAAATAACACAAATTTACTAAATTAAATTTATTTATTAAATAAAATATTAAAAAAAAACACTAAACCTATAATTTTTGTGGAAGTCCAATAAGAATTATATGAAAGTTGCATTGGTTCTTTCAAATAAAATGTTATTGTACGGTAAATTATTGATTAACCGTATGTTCAGTGCGCGATGAGAGTTCTTCACTAACCCTACTATGACAATCTTGAAAATAGAGGTCGACTGTTTCAACAGCGTCGTGTCAACACTCATCAGCGTACTTGTTACAAAAAAAAAATGGAACATATGTACACTAGACCGTGTTAGCTAGCCTGCTTCAAGATCTGTTGGTAACAAGTATTGTTAATTTGATGTTTACAGTTCTGTAAAGAACATGTTGAATATGTACGATATTTGTAGTCTATTCAGTTTGAATATTGAAATTAAAATTTTAGCGGCTTCTCTTACTTTATTTTTTGTAATGATTTTAGTTAGTGTCATAATTAATGTCATTAAATGTATATCTTATTAATAAATCAACACATGATGTTTATAATATTCCATTCTGTAATTGTGGAAAAATCTCATTTTAAAAATGTAAAACTGTAATATGTAATATATAGTAGAACAGTATACAACTTATTTGTGAAGTGGAGCACTTGCATAACACTATTAAAAGAGCAGTTTACAATATGATTAATGTTATCAAAAGACTCACTTATCATTGAAATTATTATTTCGTTTTCATTGTTTTTTTTAACTAACTTACAATGTAAATTGCTCATCAATTTTTTAATGCTATTGCTCTATTTTCATCAATTTTGTATGTATTGTTCATGTCATTTATTTGAATTATTACTATTGATTAGTGTTAATTAAACTTCTTTTTTTATTAATGAAAAGAAACCTTGTTTAAAAAAAAACATTTACCTTACTTTTATTTTAACATGACCAACGACAAATGAAAAGATTGTAATATTCTAATCTAGTTTTGTGTATTATTACAAGAAGTAGCTTATTCTGTTTAACAAATATAGAAAGTATGGAACAGATTGTTTTCTACAAATTTAGAGCATCATTTTACCATATATATTTAACAAACTTTTGACCCCTATGGTAAAATTAACAAATTTGTAGAAAATTCCGAAATAATATACTTCTTACCAGATAAATTTAAAAACTACATTATATGTATATAATGTGAAATATTATGAGTCACTCTTAAGATTAACATTTGCAAAACAATAATATCTTCTAACTATATTTACATAGTGTCTTCTTATCGATAAATTGTAAATAAAAAATGGCATTCCAATACATCCATATTTTGTATAATTATGGGAACCATGTGAAACTTAAACATCTGTTGTTTGTTAATGGTTTAAATAAATCACTTTCCAAATTGAATTATAATTATTGATTGAAAAAAAAAGAAAGAAATGAAACTGCATGGGCGGACGTTAATGGTATCTTCCGGAACGTCCTCTTTTCATGAATACATATTTATTTATTTTGTTAATACTTTCGTCTTGTGCAATTACTTGCATTTCCCTCGGCCTTGGTGCGTTTCTTCCTGGAAACCACGGTAGCTGTAAATTTAGAATCAAGTTTCTGTTCCGAGTCTAGACTAAATATGCAAAAGCACGAATTACACAGCCCACTCAAATTACATCCGTTCGTAGTGTCGATGCAAAATTGATCAATTATACTCAAAAAATATATTATATTTAAATATTTAAGTTCTTATTATTAACTTTGTACTTTTCTCTTTGTTTCAGGTATGTACGAGAGTAAATTATCACGAAGTTCGGATGCGATAAGTTTAACAAATTGATTCCAAGTAAGATACGATTAAATAGTATTTTTCTTTGCAAAGTTCATTGATAATTGCGAAAATATCTTGGGCATTGTGCAAATATTTTCATGTTGGAGTAAAGTAAATAGAAAAAGTGCTTCATTTCCTTTCCGCAAGTAATGAATTTGACCGAATATTACGTTTGTGCTCTCGGCAAATAGAACTCCCTTAATTGCGCTTCATTAATTAGCTCATTGCAATTAATACTGGTGCAAATACTGTAAGACGCTTTGTATGCAAGCCGCTAAGTATCTCTAACTGACTTAAGTCTTTAATTATTTAAACGAGGCCCGAAGGCCACCTTTGCTATTATGCACTAAGGAAATGCGAGACGTGCAGTTTTCAGTTACGCAACAGAATTTTAATAAAAAAATATCTAGACAAAAGTGATATTAACATAAATATGTATTATATTTTTTGGTGTACATGACACAATTTTAACCTTCTATTTTAATTCGTTGTGTAAACATCTTATTAAATAGTTGTATTTATTAAAATACGAATTATTAAATGAGAAATTTTAATCAAAAAAGTAATAAAGAATGACTTATAATATTTATTTATATCCAACTAGAAACGTGTATAATTTAATTGTTCTATTCTTAATTCATTTTTCATTATTCTTATTTCATTTTATTTAAATGTAATATCCCAATTTTAATAACAGCTATTAAGAAACGACGTTAAATTTATTAATTTTCAATAGTTTGAGCAATGAGTAAATCTGTTTATGTGTTACATTTTTCAGAATAACTAAGTTTATTCCTTTTTTTAATTAATTTCTGAATTTGAAATTCTTATGATTTACAATTTTTTTCTGAATTTTAAAATGAGTTTTAACATTGTTATTTCGTGTAGCGTTCCATATTGTCTTGCAAGATTAACACATTTTTAGAGCTGCCAACTTTATACAAATAAAATAGCGCAAAATTTAAATCGGATACTATTATTCATCCAAGATAATCATTTTATAATCAATTAGTTTGAACTTTAAAATATGCTTTCAACAGTTTATCAAAATATTAATTATGCAGATATTATGTATATTTAAATTGACAAATTAAAGCAAATTGCATATCTGTAGTACTAATTTAAATCAACCAGATCAATTATAAAGTTGATTAACGTAATGACAAGGACTGATTTATGATATAATTACATAACTAATATGTAAAATTTTTTCTTTATTTATTATTTTTATATTGGCGCTAATTTGGGATTCAGGATTTACTAGTAGGCTTTTTATTTTGAAAATTTACAGTTACTTTGCGCATATTATACTTTGATTATATAACAAAAAAATATTGTGATTCTACTTTGAAGGGTTTTTTTATGACATAATTGATTCTAAAAAATCTAAAGTAATACTAAGCATAGTGCGGCTTTGATCAGTTCAGCTTTTTTTCGCATGCGGACTTTAATAGTCCATCCGGTTTCAAACAGTCCGGTATATTCGCTGAACCGATTATGATCTATTAGAAAAAAAAACTACTTATCATAAGTAGATACTTTTAGTTCAGAGAAATAGTAAGTTTAGTTAGTATATGGATCGTTAAAAGAAAACTAAATTTTATAATTATTTAACATTATTTATACATAATTTTGATAATTAAACGTATTATTATCTTTTAAAGTTAACAATATATAAAATATTTGAATATAGGCAGACATTATTTGAATGCAATTGTAGTAGACTTAATTATCAAACTTTTCAATTAGTATTAACAATGATAAATTACAGTTAAGAAACTGAACAAATTATACTTAGAACACTCTAGTATATTAGACTTCTAAATGAATTAGAGTCTTGTGTTTAATGACTCTTGGTAGAAATATAGTGTTTTCTACGTATTGGGATAAAATTACTCCGCTTTAAGCCCCCCTGACTTAGAGGAACATATGATTTCTGTGGTGCGCGCCTCCCTAAACTTTCGGTATTAAACATATACCCTCCTCCTTTCCATATACTGGTGATATATGTATTGCTTTCAAAAAGGGAAGGAAATGCCCCCGTGCATGCAATATCCTCGCTCCATAAATTTCTATTAACGGTTTTCCCTCGAACATCCCCAAAAAAAAAGTAGGGTCTGCTCCTGGCGATACTTGCCATAAGGGAAGCAATAATGAAAGGAATCTTAATCATCCCCCATTCAAATAAAATCAATTTGATTATTAAACATATTTTCAACACCTGCACAGAAATTTGTTTTACTATATGTGGGTCTATGACAACTTTTATATATTTATAAATTTTTATATTATAAAAGTGTCAAATAACGAAGTGCACTTGTGCTGATGTATAATATTATAGTAATGATTGCTTATATATTTACATTTACAAAGTCATTCAGTTGAAATTTTAGTATTTTTATGAAATACAAAAAAAAAATCAGATTATTAACTTTTTGAAATTCAATATTAATGTTCACAATATTTCCTTAAGTTTCTATATCATTGCTTACAGAATGTTTGTTTATATTTAACAATTAATTTGGTTTAATTTAAGATTCTACTCGCCAATATTCATTCACTCACCATAAAAGGCCGTTGGCCGCTATCTTTCAGCTTAATTATATATTATTAATATAGTCATTCAAATGTAATGCAAATTTATATATGACTGATATTTAATTAGTTTATTTGGAAAGAGACGATTGAGTATTGTTCTAAATTATAAAGCGGCGTTTGTTGCAAATTAATTTATTTTTTAACAAGAAACCGCAATAAATCGGATTCTGCGTGAGCGTAAAAATAGTCTCGGGAAAACATTAAAGTCTTGTCTCCGAGAAACACAATGCGTTGTAATTGTTATATAAATGGCTACCGAAGTTGTTCCTCGATCTCTTCAGCCCCAACACGGATCAGGTGCAGTTTAGTGGTAATGGAGTGGCTTGGAATGAAATACAAAGAAAAAATAAAAAAAACGTGAGAGGATAAGGATTGGAGTAGTGTAACAGCAACAATATGTTAATAAATTTCTTTGGGAGCTTTGATCTTGTGTGTGTGTGTGAGTTTGTAACAGTATTTAGGGAGTGGCGGTTGCTGTGGCGACGACGACCACGAGGGCATACAACACATTGTTACAAATGTACACACATATGGAAGTCCCTTATGGGAGAGACACACATCCGGCCTTTACTCTACATCCATTCACCACTGTTTCAATTCATCTCTCCATCTCGCACCGACATCGGCGAACGGTGATATCCCTATCTCGCATCGGCTCAACCCATCCATCCACACGCGCTGGATGAGGAGAGTCCGTGCGTGTATACATACACTCACACCCATGCATACGCACGCATACATCGTGCACAGCCATCCAAAACCACATGCACAAATTTTTACTCAATTTCGGTTTGGCCGAAAATAGACCTCATCGGGGCTAATGACCAATGCGTTTATATAAAAGAGATTAATTATAGATTGCCTATTCAAATACGCGAGGGCCAGAATTACCCTAAAACGAAAACATTGACTTTTCACATGGTCTTTTGACCTAATTGCTTGTTTGCCGAGTGCGAATTTTATCTCTCAATTAGTGAAAAATCCAGATTAGATCAAACGATAGTTAAAATACACGACTACACTCTTCGGCACTTCACCATTCAGTTTACGTGACGCGACATGTCGAGTGACAACCTGAAGAAACTGCCCATGAGCTCTCAACGGCTCTCAAAACGAAAATCCGATCCACAGATCATCGAGGAATTGATCGCTGATCGCTTCAGCGACTTCTTCAAAGAGTATAAGCTGAAAAGGAGGAACCGAAAATCTTACAGAATGGAAGATATAGTGGAAGAATCTGATGAAGAGAGTTTTGTTTCCAATCTCAACATCGGTTCAATATCAGCATCTGAAAGTGCATCTACAAACGAAGAAAGTTTTTACGTTGAGGATAAGAATACCCTAAAACCATGCGAAGTCGAAAATGAAGTGAAAATGTCTTGGATCGATGAGAAGTTATCACTGGATTCTTTCGAAATCAGCAACCTGGGCAACTTTAACGAAGAATTCGATTTCAACCATCTTCAGAACGTAATTCGACTACTTGATGACGAAGACGAGGTAATAATGATAAACAAATTTAAAGTTCATTCGTTAAAAGGAATTTCCAGACTCCTGAAAGAGATTTATCCGATATTCTTTCGAAATACACCAGCGACATCCACTGCTATCCCACTTGCAACACATTAACCAAGAGATCCAAAAACGAAGTAATTTACGAATCCACCAGACATCTGACCACCACCGATTTATTAGGCTCTCTTCTATCAGAAAAGAATATACAAAATCAAATCGTTCAGCAAACATCAAAAGCGCTCGTTTTCTGTAGAAACACGAAGGAGTTTAACGGCAGTTTTGAAGAAGTCGAAGTGGAGAGATTTCTCCTCCTTGCCAGTAAGTTAAGTGCTGCCTAATCGTAAATAATTTAATATAATAATACTTTCGTAGGCGTGAAGCGCGAAGCCATTTTACAGGAAATAGCCAAAATCGAAAAGCAGAATACGAATGAACCCGAGACGAAAAATCCGGGATCCATTTATTTTAAGAAACTGCAATTACCTGTAATCATAAACGTCGATCTGGATAAGCAGAAGAAAAAGAATAATGAGATTTGGTTTGTGTGCGTTGTTAATATGGGCTCTAAAGTCTTTGGAACTCATCCTCAGATGCCTTCTAACAATGAACTGGTATTCCTAATGGATTTCCAGTTTGAAGGTCTGAGTCCGGACTTTGAAATCGTCGTTGCCGTTTACCAAATCAAAATTCGAAATAAATCGAAAATATACAGTCACAATTCTAAGTTCCATATCAACAAGGTAAATTAATTTGTTAACTCTTCTGCTCTACAGCAACATATTTGTTTGTAGTTGTACTGCTAACAGTTTTTCACCAGTTCCTCGCTATGACACCATGTGACAGCTGTCATTTTATGATCCATTAAAAATTTAACGCGACCCATAGGTTGTACGTTATTTAAATCAGAGGGCGGTAGATAATCATGTATATTAAAATAATATACGTAGAGTGAATGCTTACTCTATATAGGTTTTATCGTCATCTCATGGATCTTATAGAAAGTGAATTGTGATCTTTAATATCTTAATTTATTGAACGAATAAACTAGATGTTATTCCTTCAACCAATTAAATGCCACAAAATTTACTTAATCTACTTCAGACAATTTCGATTCTAGAAACTTTCTCAAAAACATTTTAATTCATTTAATTTTTGTTCCATTTGTGTATCACGTACATTCGCACAATCGATAGGGTCGATGGCCAATTCTGTGTAAACATTCTAATAATAACATGTTACTACTTACTGCAATTAATATGTATTAATAGCATGGATGTGTAAAGAGAAAATATGTGAAGGCGTGCTTAGGAAATGGATATAAAAGTCAAATCAATATATTTAAATTAGGTGGTTTCGTTATAATTTTATGACTGGGACGAGCCGATTTTATTATTTATGGATCGTAAAGTTGACTAAATTAAAGCCACAAGTGTTTATTATGACAGGACAAAACAAATTAAATTATGATAGTTACATTGTTTGGTCTTTAAACATAAAAGTGAAACGAAATAAGGAAAGGTACTTAATTAATAATAGCATATATTTTCAGAGTTGTAAATCTTTCACACTGCCGAGGAAGAAAAAGGAAAAGGCGTTGAAATCGTTGAACGAGTGCTGCAAGTCCAGTTTCAGTTTGTTCGGAAAGTTGGTGTTGAATGTAAATAATATTCACGATAAAACCTACAAATTGGATGGAATTTTAAATGGGAAAGCGGAATTGACGGTGGAGAGCAGCGTTCAAATTAACGAAAAGTTCGGAGAATTCGTGGATGTGGGTAAACGCAACGGCGGATACATAATTTGGAACAGATTGTGGTGCATTTTGGAGGGCCAAAATATGGTTTATTTTAATTACCCGGAGGAGGAGACGCCCGTCGAGGTTCTAGACCTTATGCGGGCCAAGGGTGCGGTGACCCAGGTGAGCAGGAACCTGTGCTCGAGGCCGAGGACTCTCCTCATAGAATTCGTCGATGCCGATCACCAGTTCTTAGCATCCGAGAGCGTGCAGAAGATGCAACGCCTCGAAAGGAAATTGAACTCGGCCATTGAAGCACTGAGACTATGGATCGCATAACCAGCTCGGAAAGTGCATTTCCAGCCTGGATCGCTTTGCTTCTCAAGTTATATAAATCGATGTTTGATTTGATGTTGATGCTCAGCAAACTCTCGAAATAACTGTAATTGATTTATTGAAATATTATTGTAAGGAGTGCGGTGCGGTTACTGGTCGGCATATTTATATTTTATATAAATAAACTTTTGCTTTTTAGATGCGATGGGATGTGTGTTTTATTGATCGTCGGCCGTGCGTGGATGTGCAGCAGCTATCCGAGTTTCTTAACCTCGGGCCAACACTAGAGATGTTTACAAATCCAATTCTTGACCTATACACACACATTTCACGAACTCCGACACATCTAATTCGCTACTTGACCATTAACCGACTCCACGAAATGCACATAACATGAAAACAAAACTTCGTACAATTATTATTTTCTATTAATATTTAATCGTTGTTACATTTTTATTCAACAATTTTTGCTACTTCAATTATATTATTAATTTAAAATATATAATATAGTAATATGATTTTCTATTAGTTATTTTTTAATTATAATTTTTAATATATCAAATTACTAACTCAAATTTATATTTATAATATAATTATATGTTAGAAAAATATAAAAAATGACGAGCAGTCCGGAAATTGTTATACATTAACTTTAATTCCTCAGATCTACAGATGTAGCGAAGAGTTATTATTATTTTTAATAATTAATTATCCACTATTAAAATACAAAGAAAATAGCAATAAGTTTTAATTCTGACTAAAAATAAAGGAAATAAACAATATTGCAGATTGAGCCAATGACCAAACTACACTGATAAAATATAAAAACATAATAATCAAAGTACATCACAATACATCAGAAACGAGTAGGAAGATCCTGCGGTTGGAATTGTTTCAGTCTACGTAGATTACCATCTGTATTCCTCATCTCTATAATAAGTTGATTCGGATGATCCTCCAGTCGATGACGATATTTGGTGCTTGATTTTTCAATGTCTTCTTTAACAAAGCCGATACCAGTGGACTGGTGGTGAACCAGGGAGAACTGGTCAATTGCTTCAATGTCTTTGACTGAAATTTCTGGAGTTGTACGCATATTCCCATAGTTGAATACCGTCCAAATCGGTTTGATGATTGTCTTATACACGAATAATTTGTTTTCAGCTCAGCCTGGCGGTTAAAAATTGCATTGGCTTCTGAACAGATATTCACACATACACATACTGAGCAGATATTCACATACCATTTAAACCAAATTTTATCATTTGTATATTAGCATAACATTTAAAAAGTAAGTATCTTTACGATATAATATCCTCAACAAATCTAGAGTAAATACAAAAAAATGTTGTAAGCGTTGAAATAATAGTTGAACGATAAAAAAAGAAAATTTTATTTTTTTAATTATTAGAAATTGTAATGAAGATTGGTGATTATTAAATTAAAAACTTTACTTACTTACATACATATCAGAATGTATTATGAGAAATTTAGGCAAACATAATTTGCATATTATCGGGAAAACCGTAAAGCAGAGAGAAATTCAATGCTATGATGCAATTCATTTTAACAATGTAATCTTATTAAGCTAATTTGGAGAATAAAAATATATACAAAATTAAATAAATGTAAAAAAGGCTAAATCATAAAATATTATGTAATAATGGAAATCAAGAAAGATGAATCTTAAATATTTGAAATAAGTCTTAAAAAATTCAATTATAGTATTTCCCCAAGTATAAGACATTCTCACGTATATACGTCATGTGTATAAGTTGCACTTAATTTTATCACTTCATCATTAATAAAATTACTAGAAACTGAGAAAAAAAATAGCGAAAACAAGAAAGCAATTTAATGTAGTTAATTTTTTTGATTTTCCAAAACATCAAAAATAAATATTTAATCAATTTAATTGTCTTTATACAAAGTTAAGTAAATATTTTTAAATAGGTCGGAATGACTGGGGTAGATAGAAAATAAATAAAAATATGTTTGCATGTATGCAATCAATTATTATATTTGATAACTTACAAAAACTACTAATTAGATGGCTAAAAGTAGTACAAGACCTCACATAGTTTCATACTAAGTTGATCGTGAACTTTAAAAAGGGACTTGACTTTATGCACTATGCGAGGTATTGCTGTATACTACTTTGTTTAGTATAAATTGTGTGTTTATTTGTTTGTGTGCCAAGGTCCTTTTCTAAAAGGGAAAATGCTCATCACTAAAATTAACTGGAAAGAGGCTGTGTTTGGTTGCGACACGGAGAGTAAGTGAGTGAGAGAGATTAAGTTGCGGTTAATTATATTACGAAACATGTCCAACTTAAGAAAACAAAACTGTATGTGAACAAGTGGCACGTCGGAAATTGGACGGTGTATACGTTCGTCAAATAATAACACGACTAATCGCTTTTCCACGAACGCAGATCAAAACAGTAGAGTGAGCAATTCAATCTTAAAGTAAATAGTGATTATTCTCACTTAATTTTCTAGGCGAAGATAAGAGTGTAGTTGAGTTGTTTGTTGATTTAGAAATATGAGAGGTAATATGATTCATATTTTGCATATGGGTATTAAACGAATGTAATATTAGGTATTCAGTGGGCATTATGAAGCATGCACAAATTAAGTGATACCAATTTATTTGATTGACGCAATGACTCGTTGTTATTGAAAACGAAATTAACCGTAAAAGTTATCAAATTAAGGTCAAAACGAATTATTAAAATAAGGCACCTGGCAAAGTTATGTTTCCAGCCAAGAACATAATTCAAAATAAGCTAAGCATAAATTTATATTTTTATGCATTAAATTATATAATTTATTCTTGAGAGAGTTTTTAAATAATATCACATGATTTGAAGAAACATGTCAATGCGGACTGTGGAATTGCAGTTTAACATGACAACCATTAGTTGTTATAACGTCTGATATGTATTTATGTCTGGATGCAAAATTAGAACTAATTGAAATGATAACTGATGATTCATAACATAATTTAAGTTTTTGATTTGAAATTTATATTACTTATAAATTATATATTTATCTATATAGTATTCAATGCCAGTTTAAAAATATTTTCTTTCAAGATTATTTTAATTCAGGTAAATATTAAGTACGCTTTATTTTATTACATGAATACAAATGTTTTGAAATAATTGCTCATACATTGTACAATTTTCGTAGAAAATCTTTGCAAATATTTTTTTAAGTTACTTCTTATTTACTCAGACTTTGTGAAACAATTTTGGGAAATTTAATTATTTACATCTACTATACAAGTAATGTATCAACATATTTGGAGGATTTTTTCTTAGTTGTGTTTATTGCTTGAATATATGTAGTTTTCAATAAATCGTTCGACTAGAGTGGAACTCAATTAGTCTAATGTTGGGAAATTCATCTATTTAATTAACATCTGCAACACAAGTTGCTTAATTTTTATTATCTTGCAGACATTCATTGTTTAATATTTAGTGATTGAATCAATATGTATTTTGTCAGCTTAAAGTATTTTTATTTCATTTGCAACACATTTTGTATCTTATGTTTTCCATCTGTCACTTTCTTGTCACCCACAGTCATTCATTTCTTGTATATATGTTATACTACCATTCTCCATGCGCATCACCTATCATTGTTGTAATTTATGTAAAAACTGTATATCTGAAGGCTGAAAGAGGCCAAAGCCCATACCGGTCTCCACAACATTTAAAATATATATTCATATAAAATCAATAAAGAATATTTTAAATTGTAAATTGTAATGTATTTCGCAATACAAATGCAAAGCTAATAAGGTTATATTTCATGACAAAATGTATTAGGGTAAGTATTTTCGTGCATAGTATAAATTAATCTTATCAAATATAGATAATATATCTGTTACGCTAAAAGTGAAAAATCTGTAAATGTACATACTTATATATCTACATTATTATTGCCGGTAAAGGTATACATTTTCCAACGTATATAGGTAAAAGTTCAAAATAGTATATGATACATTTCTATATTAACTCTTTGAGGACAGAATATTTTTTTTTATTTGTAAACACCGTTTTGTTGTTATGTTTATTATTACTAATAAAGGAAGATTATTCAAATTTTAAACAAAAAAAATAACATTTATCCTGCAGGATATGGTTACCTATACTAACCACTAGGAATATAATACATATCATCTAGAAATCTTTCAAACTCGTCTTGCTGCAATTTTACTGGATCAATTATGCTCATTTTATTTTTAAACCCTAAAAAATACTTTAAATTCTAGTGGTTAACAGCACTAACCATAACAAAATAGCTATGTTATTTTTTTGTAATAAAATAATAATATTTTATTCATCTTCTTTATTGAATTAATGTTCGAGTTCTTGAAGACTTGTTACGGCTCTGCTGTACATACGGAGCAAAATCTATTAATCTTAAAAACTGCTTTAAGATTTATATAATACTTGTTCTATCGATTCCCAATTCGTCGACGGTTAAGCAGTTGTATTTAGTCCTCGAGTTTTCAATCAATCTCTGTCTACTATATATATTATTTTTATGGGACACTAAATATGGTGATAATCGAGACACTTTCAAATAATAATAAAAAAAGTATCAAACGTTGTGGTAAAGAAGTAATGATAAAGACACATTCAAGGTGTAGAATGCGTTCGGTCGTGCCGCCGCCGCGGCGCCAGAGCCGAAAGAGATCTCCGAGCGTTTAGAAACCGATCTCGGGTGAAATTGAAACGCGGCGCGGAAAATTTCTTCATTTTGTTCTCTTTTTCCCCAACCATTATTATTATTCTATCGCGTTCGGCGCATAAATTCCGTTTAATGAAGCCAGCAACTTGCCGCTCTTATTGAATTACGACACTAGACAAATTAATTAAGTCTACTTGCTAATTGCTGAAAGTCTTTCGCGTCTTGAGAGAGAACAGCGACGGCGGCTGCAGCAACAGCAGCGGCAGCACGATATACCTAACACGCAAGAGATCAGAGTGCCAGAGGGGAAAAAGGAAAAAGAAGGAGAAAAAGAAAAGGAATTTATCATCTCTCCGCGCAGCGCATTTCACCGAAAAATACGCCGATGCAATTACGTAAGACACCTGTGCCGTGAGGGTTGAGCATCGCGGAAGCACCTCTGGTTGGTAAAAGCCGTACCAACCAGTTCATCGATAACATAAATATTAAATCGTTCTTAGGTGTTAATTATTTCAAGTACCTTTTTATAAATAATTCACTCACCTCGGATGACGATATTTCACATTATTTTAAAAAAATCGTTTAATACTATTAATAATAATAATTTATATATATGCCCCTGCATATTAATAACATTGTATTAATTAGTATTGCTTTCAGTTTTACTTTTTAATCCGAATTTTAGTTTAGTTTATTATGAAATTTTCTATT